GCACCCGGATGACGCATACCCAATGGTAGTTGATAAACTAACGCTGATATAATAATATTTATTCGACTTTAAATCAACGCATAGTCATAAGAGTGAAAAAAACCTATTATGGCTATGATCAACGTTTTTTTTGTTTTCTTATTGGTATTATATGGAAGTCTATATGAAAGATTATTGATGACTGATCGAAAATGTGCTTTTTTACTGTATTTTATTTTAAAGTGTTAATGTTTACAAACTATTCGTAATTATAGTTATTATTTTAATATTTTTTATATTTATTATTTTGATATTCAGCGTTGATTTATAGTTGATAAAATAAAGTTGCTTATTCAACGTTAAACAACATGTCTATTTTTTTTCTACTTGATCTTGAGGCAATATATAAAGTTTTTTATTCAAAATAAAAATAGCTATTCACCCAGCGAAATGTGCTTTTTTGTTATTGTATTTTTGTTAAAAGTATTAATATTTATAAACTATCCATAATTATAGTTATTGTTTTTTTTAACGTTTCTAAATAACTATTTACAAGTTTTCTAAAATATATTTTCGATTTAAGAACGATAACTAATTTAAGTACTTTTAGTTTATAATTTTCATTTGTTATTTTGCTTCCGGAAAGTTGTTATGGCTTAAAGCAATTTTGATAATATAGATTAGCAATGATTATAAAAAAAGAATTCATGTTTTTTATGTAACATTGTTTTACACAGCTTTAGTTACAATCACAGATTTTTAATTTTATTTTTTTATTATTTTTTTTTCATTGAAGCTAGTAAAAAAATTAATAAATTAGTAAATTATATATTTATATTGAAAAGTAAAAGATAGTAAATTTTCAGTAAACATAAGTAAATCTTATTTTCTCAAAATGTTTATTATTAAAAACATTTTTTTATTTCCAAAAAATACACTAATACACAGTATTTTTATATTTATATAATAAATTAAACTTTAAGCACTAGAGAACTTTTAAAAAATCAGCAGTAGTGCTGTTTTTTTTATTGTTGCAATACTTTTGTATTCAAAACAAAAATAACTTAAATTACATATCGTTGCTATGAGTAACAATAGTGATGAATTAAATTTTAATAATACAAATCTATTAAGTATTTCTTTAAAATCATGTTTTTGTTTGTTTAGATACTTTTCATATGATTACAAGAAACTTTTATTGTTAAGCTCAAGGAAAATAAAAAGTTGGAAAAAAGGTTTAATTACACTTTGGTGAGAACGATGGCAGGTATAAATATGGTTGTCAAATCTATCAGTTGATTGGCCAGTTCTGCAACAAAAAATATGTTTATTCGTACATTTAAATCGTTAGTTTTATCAGTATATGCGGCTTGATTTTAGCATGCCAAACATTTAAGGCTATAAGTTACATTTTTGCTACTGCATTTGATGTGACTTTTTATTTTCCAAATAGTACCATTAGATGTTTTAAACCCATCTACTTCTTGAAGGTAGAGTTTGTATATTTTACACCAAATATCTTCGCATTTAAATATGCCAATCTTCTTATTAGTTGCTTCAACTTTCGAAGAAGTAAGTCTACTTAGTAGATTAGGAGATTGTTTAAAAGCTTATACTGAATAATTATTCGAAAAAACGTTTTTGACTCTTTCATTATGAGATGCTTTGAGTAAAAGGTTAGTTTCTGAGATTAAAAGTTGACAATTAATATTGCTATAGAATGTTGTCACTAAAAAAAAATATTTCTTTAGACATCTTTTGTGGTGCTGCTCCTTGTAGTTTTGCATTATGAAATGCTTTATCTATAATTCCATCAGGATATTATAGATAAAGCATTTCATAAAGCAAAACAGTCTTTCAACCATGACTTTAGTTCTGTTAGACGAAATATTTCAATTCCGTAAGTTGATGTAAAAACGATTATTCTTTCTGCTAAATTATAAGGAATATTCTTCTTGATGTAAAATCTTAGATAACTGTTATAGTTTAAGTAGCCATCGGTGTTTCTTTATAATATTTTTTGTAATGATATAAATAAAGCTTATTTATATTATCTACTAGACAAATGCTGAGGTAGGACTTTTGGAAAAAGCTTAGTCTTTTCTAGAAATTTGAAATCTGTACCCATTGCTGTACCAGTTGTTTGGTGAAATAATTGTTTATCGAATATGAAATTATTGTTGTTTAAAATAAAATATGCTAACTCATTTATGAATTCAGGTGTAAATCTTTTATCTATCGTTTCTTTATATTTAAATATCCAGAACTTTTGGGGTTCTAAACCAAGAAATTGTGAAATGCTTGTGTAAAGGTTAAAAATGTCGCATGTTATTATACGACAATCTGATTCATACTCTCTTGTAATTTTTCTGAGAAAATCCCACTCATCTTTAATTAAAGATTTTTGTTATATCACAATCGGTAATAAAATTATATGTAAAAACTGGCTCAAATGAGATGTTGGCAAATCTATTGCGGCAATAATTGGTCTTCATTTAAGATCCTTTGATGGCTTCATTTTAATAAATTAAGAGTCAGATTCTTTTACCTTATTAATGATTTCTTGACATTTTTGAACTTTAGGAATTATATAGAAATTACTAGATTTCTATTTAAAGAAATCATTTATTTTCTAGAATCAATTAAGCGCTGTTATGCAAAAGCAACAAATAAAGAAACTCGAACATAACTAGCCTCCTGCTTAAAGTATGTACCTTATCGTTTCAATGGAGATAAACGGAAATCTTACAACCACAAAAAAGAAGCTGAAGAAGTTAATAAAAAAGGTAATAAAGATAATCAAGATAATGATAACTTTAAAGTAAAATGGGACGTTGAGTCAAGCGAGAGTGAAAGTAGTTGCAAAAACGAAAATTAAACCCCCTTACCCCCATTTTTAAAACCTTAAAAAAAATATATTTTAGCTAATATTTTTGAGTGTTATATTTCAAAAACTAAATATCAGTTCAACTCTGCTTTTTGATGTTGAATTGATGTTGATATTTCAACCTCGATTTCTTGTTTCCAAACCAACGCTTGAATCAACGTTTGTAAATCAACGTCAGTTCAACGTTAATTTTTTAACCTTGAATAAATGTTGATACTGTTTAGATAAATTATCCTAAAACCATATAGAAAACAATTATTGTTTACCATATAGAAAATTATTCCTTATTACCTTATAGATAATTATCAGTATTTATATAAACAATAATTATTTTCTATATGGCTCTAATAAAATATCCTATTTAAATAAAGTACTTTTTTTCTGCTTACAGCTTATATTCAGCGTTTTTTTATATGTGATTCTTTTTTTTAATTGTAGTTATTCTTACAGTTATAAACACATGATATATTAGGCATATTTGAGCAAGCCAGTGCATGCAAGTTGCAGCTCATTAGGTGGCGCCGTATAATGAAACAAACTAAGCACCTGAATTCTGCATAATATAAATACTTCCTGAATGTTCTTTCTATTTTAAGTCTATTCATGTCTGCTGTGCCAGTTCATTTAATTGCAAAATACCGAAGAAAAGTGAAAAATATTGTGATTGATATCACAACTGAACCTGCCAGTGATGCTAATACTTGCATCTCCCGTTTTGGTTAGGCAACAAACACGGTCAATTATAATATTGACTCAAAAGTGCTAAATGACTAGAAGGGGAGCGTGGCGAAAGGTGACACCATGAGAAGTGGGACATCTCTATAAATTTAATAAAGAGAGGTCCCTAATTAATGTTATTTAATGTAAACATTGAGATTTTCTCTCTATTTAGAAGACATAAACTTTTCCCCCTACATGTGGTAAAAACTGCATTTTTGAGAAGGACCCCCATAAAAAGTATATTTTTAGGGGGAAAGTTGGACGGAAAAATAAGAAATTAATTTCTATTACAATATACAAGCTAAGATAAATATTCTATAGTATTGTAATAGACATTAATTTGTATTACAATATATTGTAATAGAAACTAATTTCTATTCAGTTCTATCTCAGTTGAAGTTAAGAATAATATTCTATAGTATTAATACTATAGAATATTATTCTTAACTTCAACTGAATCTAGCTTAATTAATTTATATAAATTAAAACTTTAACCATTTCAAAAACTATTTTTAACATTCATTTCAAAGTATTTAAATATGTTTCTGTCAGTGTTTTATATATCTTTTTTAGATTTATTAAAATGTTTTAAACTTAAAAATAAAAGTCAAATATGCGAGAAATTTTTAGTACCATTAGAAATAGTTATCAAAACAAATCTTCTTATTTGTCTATAACTGACTCTTATTATAAAAATAAGAAAACTATATAAATAATAAGATTAATTATCCTTATTATAATTATTATAATATTAATAATTATTATTGTTGTTAATATATATATATATATATATATATATATATATATATATATATATATATATATATATATATATATATATATATATATATATATATATTATATGTATATGACATAAAATTTATGTACTTGGACCCCCTAAATGCATTTTATGAAATAAAATAACACTGAGTTTGAAAAATTTTAAAATAAAAATTTTTTTAGAGCTCAAACTCGTAGACCCATTATTATTTAACAAGTCCCTAATATTTTGGAAAAAAAAAGTCTTTTAAAAGTAGATCAACCTAGCATTTAAAAAGAGCAAAAATTAAACAAAAAAATTCTAAAATAATAATTGCTTTATATATAATTTTTTAAATTCAGTGTTATATCATTATACAAAACACATTTAGAGGGTCAATTTTTTTTAATCTTGTTTTATAATGTGACGCTAATATATATATATATATATATATATATATATATATATATATATATATATATATATATATATATATATATATATATGTAACTAAAATTTTTAAATCAAGGTATTCATATAAACAGCATTAACAAATTTCATATTAAGATACCGGAGACTAAAAACAATTTAAAAAAATACCCGATAAGCTTAAAAAAAACTAAAAAAACTATTTTCAGCGTTTTCTTTAACGTTTCAAACCATGTGTTCATCAGTATATATTTTCAACTCTCGTATAGCAATCCACTCTGAATTTGAGCTATATATTTTTACTCGTAGACATGCAGTTCTTTGATCGGAAAATATAATAATATCTACTTCGCTATTTCGAAAATCTGAAACAAACTCAAAAAAATTACATTCAATATTGTTGCTTCGTTCTAAAACTGCGTTTGTCAAACAGTCATTCATCATTTTTGTTAAACAAGTTTTAATTTTTATTCTTCTAACGACAGTAATATAGCTAAACTTTATTGTTACATAACTATCTTTCAATTTAGAATATGTCCAAAACACATCACCTCTGTAATATAGATTATTAAAGCTATGATTACGATAACCATTTATATTGGTGGTTAAAATAGCTTCAGGATTCTGGTGGTAAGACATTCTATGATGTACAGTTTGAAAAAATAGAACATCTGGAGAACGCATTTTTTGCAGCGATAACGTAATGTATTTAAATTTGTTCATAATTTCTTTAATTGATGTATAAGCACTTGTCCAGTAAACAAAATTTGCATACTTCTCTAAGTATTTACAGTTGTACAGCCTCCCATGCACAGGATCTTTTGATAATCCTATTTCTATTAGCGTAGGATTTTCTGAGAATACACGGAAAAGCTTTTTAATATTTTTCATTGCATAACTTATAGGAAAGACAGTTTCATCTGTAAAAATCATATAATCACTTTGTTGCGAGCAATGCCAAAACAGCAACGATACTAAAATATTAAAATGCGTTCTTTTTTCAACAAAACTTTTATTATGCAAATGAAAACCCAAATTAACTGTTTGTAACATAACATGATTTTTGTACGAAATCTTCTGAAACAGTTATCAAGTTTATAGGAAATGCTTTTAATTTATTTTCTTGTTCAAAGAAGTCTCTCATTTTCTTTAAATCTTTTTCTTGATATGTTAATAATGCAATATGAATAACATAGGATGAGATGAGCTGATCTTCGTTCATTTGAGTTACTAAATTTACCAACTGTTTTTTTGCAAATCGAATACTGCTATCATCGGCATCACTTATAATTTCAATAGATATTGTCGCTAATTAAAAATAAAACAAGGAATACATGTTTGTTATTATTTTAATTATATATAAGAAACAAACAAATGGGTTAGTAATAGAGAGATTCTTATTTTTAGGGTTCTCTTATACAATTCTAGCACTAAAAACTTCTTAAAAAATCCTTAAATTTTATAGTATGATATACATTGTTCATAGGCAATCAAATGAAATTCCATCACATTACACGTGCAATAGAATGGGAAATGATAAATCCAAAATAAATACTTACTTTAGCTGTTTTTTATGTAGATAATGCTTTTTAACTTCGTTTTATGTTGATGCGATATATAAGTGAAAAACTAGGAAATATTTCTCGAACACTTATAAATTAAGTCTCATATTATAATATAAGTTTTTTATTGAAAAGTAACTTAGTATTAGAAGTTTAAGTTTTTTCAGCCTTTAGTATTTGTAATAGCTTTTAGTATTATATATATATATATATATATATATATATATATATATATATATATATATATATATATATATATATATATATACACATATAAATAGGTTCAAAAATATAATTGTTTTGAACTTGTTCCATACTCCAAACATTTATATGTTTATACTTTAGTCAAATAAAGGTTTTTTAGAAAAAAATGCGATGATTAGAGCCTGGGACCGAAGTCCTAAGGCATTGGCCACAATTACCCTGAACGTGAGTGCAATAAGTTGATATAATATTTTATATACCATACTTTAGTAAATTTATGTTTAAAGACAAATTTTAATTTTACACAAAAATCATTTAGCGTTTAAAAATTTAGGACTATGTAAGTTTGAACCCCTATCAGTTTGAGGGGATTTTTGAAGAGAATTTTGCATGAAATTTAAAATTTATTGATGAATATAAATTCATAAAAGATTAGTACATAAAATTAACTTATTGCTCTTAAGTTTAGGGAAGATGTAGTCGAAACTTTAGGGTATTTTGTTCCCATGCTCCAATCATTGCATTTTTTGCAATGATTAGAGCCTTTTACATGTTTATACTTATGTTAAGCATAAGTATAAACTTGTAAAATGCTCCAATCATAAATATTTATATGTTTATACTTATGTGAATTTCTTAATATGTAAATGTTTAAAGTTAATTATAAAAATAAGTATAAAATTATAAATGTTATTATTATTAATAGAAAACAAAAAAATTAAAAATTATTTACGTAACACAATTTTTAAATATAGTTTTGTAAAAACTATTTGTAAATATAGTTTTGCTCATTTAATCATTAGTTCTTTCGATCATATTTAGTGGATCATTAGTGGCAGTCGCCAAAAATGGCTAGCCAATGACTATCCACTATTAACATGTTGGAAAGGTAGGCTCTCTTGTCAAATCCTTATTCCGACGCTGTCCTTAGGGACCGAAAATGTAAAAAAACGACTTATTCATTTAAAAGAGAACCTGCCTACCCCAAATCCTCAGTCGTTGTTTGCACACTCCGCTGCATGTTCTCTCTAAAAATCAGTTGGTATATGTGCGCCTTGCTGCGCAAATCCCTATATACCCCATTTTGCCTATTTCCTAGAAATACGAGTTCGCGGACGCAAAGGACCACCACTAGTGGCTTACTAAGTAACCGATGAGTAAAGCTTTAATGAACCGCTCAAAATGCCAATATAGGTCCACTGTAAATCCATTAAAACAATGTTTGCTGGGTATTAACTTTACAATAACCTTAACAAAACCATTATGACATCACCTTTTTGAACTATAGTACGATCTTTAAAATAGGGCACCCAATTAAAAAATATATATATTTTTTTATAAGTAAGCTCATATATTTAAAATCAACATTTAATATAAGTTAATTCACAATTAAAATACTTTTTTTTTATATTCAATATTGATATTTTATTTTAGCCAAAATATTTGTTTACGATTTGAATTTAAACTGTTAGTTTTTAAAATTATAAGTTAAATTACTGTTATATAAAAAAACTTAAAAAATGATTTAACTACAAAGACATTTCAATGAGATATGCAAAATGGAATGTATTTTAACGTGACCATGGCCTCGCGCTCTGTGGCTTTAATTGATTTAAAATAGGTATACATTTAAACATTTATATGTTTCTTTTTTTCGCTAATAATGTAAATTTTTTTACTATAAATATTTACGCTGAAAAATTTGTTCGAGTGATGATTATTACAATAAGAGTTTTGAAAGGAGCTCAGATGATATGTTTTACCTAAAAACAACAGTTTTTTAGTGCTTATACAGATGCTTACAAGGTTTTATCTAGTGATGTAAAACCATATATTAAATTATTCAAATTTTTGACTTTTTTTTTGCTTACTATTCAACCGGTTTAAGAATTATCAAATTTTAAATATCAGTCTTTTAGTAGTATATGTTCCTTGTGGCAATCATTAGACTTAATTAAATTTTGAATAACTTTTAAAATCAATCTTTTAGTAGCGCTTCTTTCTTCTGTTCCATGCAACAGTCATAATTTAAGTCTTCAGTAAAATGTTTAACTTTGTTCAATATTTTTTAAAGGTTGTTCACTTTATTGTCAGCTTTTATGAGCCAATGAAAAAGCTAGTATTTAGATCAAAATAAGTTGTGTCAAAGCCGTTTGAAGTTTTTCCAAAACGAAAATAATGTGATCATTATATAAAAAATATGATATAAAAATATATGAAATATATAAAAATATAATATATATATAATATAAATATATGATATAAAAATAATATGATAAAAAAAAATAATATAAAAACTGTGATCATTATATGTTGCCTGAAACATTTTGATCACAGGAATATAGGCTTTCAAGCATACATTCAGAGCTTAGGAAATAGAGATGCCAGGAATAGTGATTTTGCCGAATACCAAATACTAAACGAACACTATCAAAGTATGCAAAATTTATCAAATATTCAGATGCCAAATATTTAATGGTTTAGCACATTTTGTGGGTGACTGGTTCTAATATGCAAAGTGAACTGCATATCTTAACAATGAGGTAGATCTGTTTAATTTGCGTGTAGGTTGTGTTATTTGTTGGTTGTTACTTATGTTGTGTATTTCTTACACGTCAATTTTTGTTAGTTGTTGCTTGTATTTCTTACATGCATTATGTAAAATATGCACGCTATAAGTAAACAAAATACATTACTTAGAATGTGTAAATTTAGCAAGAAAGTTTTTTAAAGTTGTCAAAAATATATCAACAGTTTTCAAAACTTCCTGATTATTTTAAAGACAATGTCTACTCTATTCTACCGCACACACCTCCTAAAGAAAAATTACGTTTAACTTTTTTAAACAAACTGGATTAATATATTAGTTCTACGCCACCCGTAATAAATATTCTCTATTGAAAACAGCTAGTAGCAACTTTTACTTGCAAAGTTCTATAGATTGCATTTAAGAGTTGTTACATACTTAACCTAAAGACTGCAAAGGATCGCTCACTTATTTCTTACCTCGTGTTATTCTTCGTTTTCACTTGATATTTATTTGTTATGGCATATACACTGATGTTATACAGTAGACACAACTCAATTTTAATATAGCAAAGTTTTGAAACAATTGCTTGAACAAGTAATAAGTTAGTAAACTGCGAGATTTTTTAATTTAAAAGTTACCTCTTTTATTGTAATTATTTATAAATCTCAAAAAGACAGAAAAAAAAGATCTATTGCAAAAAAATTTCTATTGCAAAAAAAAAAAAAGTTGTGTTTTTTGCACTAACCTGATTTGTTTAATTGCAGTGGAAATAACAACGACAATGAGTTATAGTTTTTTTTAGCTTTTCTTTGACTTGATGATTCCACAACGAAGTTGTTGCTTTTTAAATCTAACATAAAAGTTGTTGAAAAATTTATAATTTATGAATAATATTGTAGAAATGGTTTTTCTACTAATTTAAAGGATAGAAACTTTCTTACATAGATAAAAAAAATAAACAGCTAAAATCATTAAGACTGCTCCCTTTCTTTTAGACACTTTCATTTTAGAATTTATAATTAAGTTATTGTTCATCAAATATTAAGTTCAAAAATGCGTATGTAAATTACAATTTTATGTTAAATGTTATCAACGCGTTTCCAAGGTGGCATGTTATTAAAATAAATTTTTGATATATCGTCGTCTATGTTTGTTTTACATTTTCTATAAGTAAATATTTTTTTATATATATAATACCATGTATTTATTATACACATATATACATAAACATATTCTATGCATAAATTATTATACACATATATACATAAACATATTCTATACATAAATTATAATACACATATGTACATAAACATATTCTATGCATAAATTATTATACGCATATATACATAAACATATTCTATGCATAAATTATTATACACATATACACATATTTTTTTATATATATAATATCATGTATTTATTATAAATAAACATATTCTATGCATAAATTACTATACACATATATAAATAAACATATTCTATGCATAAATTATTATACACATATACACATAAACATATTCTATGCATAAATTATTATACACATATATACATAAACATATTATATGCATAAATTATTATACACATATATACATAAACATATTCTATGCATAAATTATTATACACATATATACATAAATATATTCTATGCATAAATTAGAGTAAGACTGAGTGCGGGTTTAAAAGAAATAAAACATTTCTGAAAACCCAGTTACTCACCATCAACCCTTTAAAATATATATTAGATTCAGTTAAAAAAAAAATAAAATATCAACTAAATCGAAAATATATTTTTTGAAATATTTTTTTGATGCATTACAAAGTAACAAAAAGTTTTTAAAATTCAACTAAATGAAAGATCAAAGAACAAAATTAACTAAAATAAATTTTATACGAATAACTAAAAGTTTAATAATAATTTCAGGAAATAAAATATATTACCAACTTTATTAACAAAGCCATAGTAGGGGAGACCGGTACAAGATAACAATTTAACAAGATAACAAATTTTTTTACTTATTAATTTATTTTCAAGAATAACAAAATTAATTTGTAGTTCTTTGTGATATTAAATATATTAACATTTACTTATTCAAATAATTTTTTTTTTTTCACAAACTTAACATATTGTCATCACTTTAACCTTGGCGCAAGATGACAACACAAAAAATTGTTAATCATATTTTAACTGTTGAATATGTTGCATGGTTTAACAAATGATAACTGAGTTTTTACATCTTACAAACTAACAAACTAAGCGTCATGCAACGTAATATTGAAATTTTTAGTTGTACCACTAACAATAGTCACAAATAAAAATACTGTTTTTGTAATTGGAACATCCCTTATGCCATCACTGTTGGCATTTACAGGACTGAATCCATTCTTCTGTTAGAAGGTCATAATATTCCTTCTCACATGCAGGGTATCTTATAACAAGATCTTTTGAAATTTATGCAATTAGAATGTTTGTTCTGGATTTTACAGACGTAGGCATATAGGAATTTAGCTTGAGTTTATGTACATTATTTTTAGCTTCATGAGCTTCTTTTCTCTTTATTTTTTTTAATTTACTTGTTTTTCTTTCTTTATTATTTTTAAAAGTTCTTTGTTCTTGTAAGAATGCTTGAGCTCATTTTTTAGCTTTTTCGTTTTTTCTAACTTTCTTTTGCTATAGGCAATGGTTTGAAATCAAAAACACTTTAGTACATTTGAATTAGCATTTGCTATAAGTTTTTCTGGATGGTTTATATGATGGTTTTCTACTACTTGATTTTGAGGATTTGTATTATTGTTCTCATTTTGATTGCCAACAACATCATAATGATTTTGAAGCAGCAAGGTCATTTTTACTAAACACAAGTGGATTATAAGGCTCGATCTCACATTCTTTAAACCCATTAACAGCATTTTCAACTACAGCTGCTTTAAAGTAAGCAATGCTCAAAAGATAATCAATATTTTTGTCTGAGATTGGTCGTCCTGGATGAGTGATTATAAAGTTGTCACATGCTTGTCTGCAATTGGTCTATAATTGACTAAAAAATGACACATCAAGTTGCTGGAAACGATATGATGCGTGGGGCAGCAACCCAACCATGATGATGTTTTTCTTTCTGCAATAAAATATAACCTCCAAAATTATGTGAATTTTGTGATGGTCAATAATCAATAGAGCATGAGTTCTTGGCTTAGTTTCACTTGTAAATAAAAGTGCTTCAAAAAATATAAAAAGATTTCTTCGTTGCTCCAGTCGTTATTGCTAGAGTAGCTTACAGTTCCTGGTGGTGCTCTTTCTACAAGTTCAAAAAACATTCGAATTTTGGAAAAACTTAGAAAAGGTGGCAGCTAAAAGCCAGTAGAGCTCATGCAACAAGTTATAGTTACAGTTTTTACTCTCTCTCTCTGTTGAAACAATTTTAGAAACTCTTCTAGTTCCTGTAGGACTGAAAACTATGGGTAGCTTATTAAGTACAGTAGACAGACCTGAGTCATTTGAATTGTAGATTGAAGAAGCTGGGAATTTAAATTTTTCCCATTGCTCCCTTATAATATTGTAAAACTTATCTGTACTTGGTTTATTGAAACCCATTGCTCATTGGAGCAATGTTTCTTTTACAAAGAAACATTACTCCAATTTATGTTTCTTTGTAAAATTAGCCAGTCAATCTTCTCATGCCATCTTTTTATCTTTGTTGAACAGATGCAAAATACTATTTCCCTCAGCAAAGTCAAAAATTAGTCTTCTACTCTGTTTCTTTGTTATTCCAAAAAACATTTTGTCCTCTGCTGTTATTGTAGGATTTTAAATCTTCTTACTGCGCAGCATTAAAGACTTCTTTAAATCTCCCTACATGAACCAGCATGTCCTGAAATAAAATTTATTATGTTTTTATTTTAAGTTAATTTTTTTTCCTTAATGTTACAAAATCGTAAATACATAATAAAGACTCGTTAACAGTAAATATATAAATAAAAAGAAGATATTGCAAAGTGGTTTTACAAAGTAATAAATTTACTGTAAAAAGTGTAACACTGAAAAAAGAACGCGGAAAACTTGCAGAAGACCAAATGGCCTTTTCATCAAGAACTAAGGACCGGCGAGTGTTTGTTAAAATTCGGATTACGAAGTTTACTGAGAGGCAAAGTTGACTTTGGCTTCCACTTCGGTGCCGAAGTTAAAATAGAGTTTAAATTTGGTATTCAGTTAAGTTCGGTAACAATTTCAAAATTTCATTTAACTTTCAGTTAAATTCGGAAGCTATAAAGTTATTTTCAGTTTATAAAGAAGAATTATAAAATACATTAGATTTTTTATGTATATCAACCTGTTTCTTTTAATTGCAACCTTCTCTCAGTCGGGAGAGGATTGTGACCAATATAAGAAATAGCTTCCTCGACTAAAGTGGCCCACTTAGCCTTGGGAACATGGTTTTGGTAAAAAAAAAAAAAAAAAGGCATCTTAGAAATATATTTGACTTACAGAGCTAATATATGAAAAGTCTTTTTTAGGCACAAAGTCTATTCATCACTTATTAAATCTTATTTATCGCTTTTAAAAAATCCTGAAGGTAAAAACAGATGAATATTTAACCTAAAATTTTATAACGATCTTTTTCCTTTAAAAAATTGACAATCAACACTTTTTAATAAACCTTGTAAATTTTTTTTTTTCGTTTAAAAACATTAAGAGTTGTAAAGAATCCTGAATTTTTAGATTTTTTATTTTGACGCTTTTTTGTGAGCGAATATTTTTTTAATAAATTAAAATTTACTTGGCTTCACTAGTTTTATGTCAAGTTTTAAATTGTGATTAATTACAAGGTAAAAAATAAAATTTTTAGTATATAAAAAGTAATTATATAGCAACCGGGGCGCAGTGGCTAGAGCGCTTGCTTTAGAAGCAATAGTCCAAGGGTTTGAAGCAAGCTCTGGGCATATTTCGCACCATCAGTATAGAAAAAGGTTTAAACTTTCTAGTTTAATACTTTTCTGATGTACTCCGTGACTAAATCGTTAGGTCTTCTCGGAACATTTAAAGCAAAAAAAAAAAAAATAAACTTCATAAAACTTATAGAAAGTTCTTAAAAAATTTCTTTTTTAGTTGAATGTGCTTTAAAATCCGAATTCGGCTTTCAGTTAAATTCTGTTTAGAAGTCCAAATTTGTCTTTCAGTTAAATTCAAGCTACATATACGGCTTAAAATCGTCTTTTAGTTAAATTCGCTAAAGTCGATATCGCCGGTGTAGGAGGTATGAAGTAATGAACCGGTACGAATCATTGTACAGTAATTCCTACCTGACGGTACCGATCACTTGACAAGTGATTCCTACCTAGGTGCCGAATACTGTACTTGGGTACCGAACACTTAACGTTTTAATTTTGCCGTGTAAATGTTTTAAAAAGAGGTAAGAAGCATGGAAATTAATACAAAAAACCTTTGTTCACTATAGTAAACATACTACTATAGCAGTATAGTATTAGTTTAAACAAAATTTTAAAATCAAACGTTTAAAATTTAATAATTATCTTTTCATTTTTTGTATGTAATAACTCAAATTAAGATTAATAACTCAATAAGAGTAATAACTCAAATTAAGATTATTATTATTATTATTATTAATATTATTATTATTAGCAAGATTATTATATAGTAAATTATTATATAACAGCTGTTAACAAGACCAAAAGTAGGAAGGCCAATACCACAAGTTACAAGACCAAAGCCAAAAGTTACAAGGCCAAGATTTAGAGTTTCAAGGCAAAGACGGACGCAACGAATTTTAAGACTTAAAAATTTTTTGCCTTACGTGAAGGCCAATACTGTAAATCGCAAGTGCTGTGAAAATAAAACCATATTTTGTAAAAATAGACCAAGTTTATGTTCAGTTTTCAACAACATCAATATAAAATTCTGTTTTTTTTTTTAAGGCCTAAAAAATCAAGGCCAAGGCTAAAATTTTTAAGGCCAAGGCCAACAGTTTCAAGGATAAGGGCCTTGGTCTTGAAAATGGAAATTTTAAAGCCAGACCAAGACCAAGGACTAACAACTTTGTTATATAATAACCGCTTTGAAATAATTTAATAGATTATCATTTCAATTAAATAACTTATTTAACTAATATTTTTTACATGCATTTTATTAAAAATTTATGTTAATTATATTTTATGTTATAGGTGCTATGGGCATAGGATGAATGCACTAATAGCACATAATATTAGCCTATAGCACTGCTATAAACACTTTTTTTATTATTTTAGATATTTTAGTACAAAATGGAAGACAAAAATTCATCAGAGATAACATCTCTGATGAATTTTTGTCTTCCATTTTGTACCAGACTCCACATTATCTAAAAAAATAATTAAAGAACCGAACTTTTATGATATTAAAAAATATTTATTATCAGGAATTTTTCCTGAAAATTTACAAGGAAGAAAAAACATAGGTATTAAACAAACTTTAAAAAACAATGTGACAGGTTTGTAATTGTTAATGGTATGCTACATTACAAATATAGAAAAATCATGAAAGTTACTTCTGGTCCAGAGACATTATGTGTTGTCAAAGATTAAATGTCTCGTAATCAGTACAAAAAAGCTGCACACAATGGATTAGGCATATCAACTGAATCAAAGGCTATTGGTGGACATGTTGGGAGAGATAAAACAATATGGATATTGATTGATTCAGGATGTTGGTGGCCGAATATGAATAAAGATGTCCGAAATTATGTTGCCACTTTTGAATCTTATCAAAAATCAAATTCAAAAATGAAAAAAGTTTCTCCAGAGTTGCATCTAACACCAGTTCCAACAAAAATGTGGCATTAGGTTGGTGTTGACCTCTGTAGTCTTCCTAAAAATCCAGAAGGTTATGTTGGAATTTGTGTAGTTGTTGATTACTTTTCAAAATGGATTGAAGCAAAGCCTATTTATAATAAAAGTGCTGAAGAGGTATCCAGATTTCTTTATGAACTTATATGTCGACATGGTTGTGCCTCAATTCAAATTAATGATCAAGGTCGGGAATTTTGTTACAAAGTTTTTGAAAATTTTCTAAGTTTTACTGGAACCTGTAATTTTATTACTTTGGCTTACCATCCTCAAGCTTATGGTCTGGTTGAAAAAGCTATTAGAATTATACAGTGTTCTATGCTTAAAGTGCTGAACGGAGAGCTAAAAATGGCCTCATTCACTAGATGGCATACTGTTTGCATTCGAACAACTTGCCACAAGTCAACTGTTGTCACTCCCTTTCAAGTTATGTATACAAGAGAGCCAGTTTTATCCTTACAATGCATAAATAATAATCATGTACCTGTTGATTTAGACATAGAAGCAGGTGTTTATTTTAATAAACGAATGGAATAAATTTATTGAATTTTATTTTATACATTTAGTTGGTTTTTTTAGGGTATTTTGGAACAGGCTGATTGCTCGAAAACTTAAAAGTAACGAGCAGCCGTGGTGCAGTGGTTAGAGTTCTGGCTCAGAACCCAGAGGTCCGAGGTTTGATACCAGCTCCAGCAAAACAAGCGACATTGGTACGGAAGGAGGCGTGAACTTCCTGTTAAATGTTCTCCCGCGTGTTCTGTGATAAGACCGTAAGGACTTCTGGGAGCACCTAAATAACTACAAAAAAAAAATTAAAAACATTCAAAGTATAATTCACGATGAAGTTGAAAAAGATATGAAGAAATCTCAATTGCGACAAAAGAAGGACTATGAGAAACGTCACAAAAACCAAATCCAATTCAATATAGGCGTTTTTTTTGTTTATAATCTTAGAAGAGCTGATAGAAAAGGTGATTAAGGGAAATCTGTTTGGGATGGACCGTACGAAATTATTAAAACCTTTATTGATAAAGGACCTTATCAGCTAAAACAAAAAAATGGCGAAACACTTTATACCAAGCATCAAGGTTCACCCATGAAACTTTCAAAAAAAAGATTTGAAGACGAAATTCTTTAAAAATCGTTTAGTGAGGTGTATTAAATCTGAATCTTTAGAAATTGTTGAAGTTGTTATTAGCAAAATAAACTCTTTTATACCAACTAATAGTAAATGAAAAACAAAGAAATGCTCCCTGTTGAAGATTTCTTCGACTAATAAAACACCATTTAAAAAAGGTTTTGCTGTACGAAAAAAAAAGTTACAGTTGCAAAAACCGATTAGTGTTGATAAAATTGAAGGTGATGGAAAATGTTATTTTGAGCTTTAAGTCAGGAAGTTTGTCAAGAGTTTTATAAAATACCGCGTCAACAATTGAAATTCTTTTAAAAGTCAACAATTGAAATTCTTTTAAAAGTAGAAATGCTTTTGATACTTATATATCAAAACCAGTTTTAAAATACAAAAATGATTCAAAAATGGAGACTGACCAAATATGGGTCACTGATGTTGAAATATATGCATTAGCAACTGCCTTGGATACACCAATTTCTGTTTACTATAAGCCTCCTGAAGCTTCTGTATTTTCGTGGTTTTTTTGCAAACCTCTTCTTCAAAATACAAATGGGTTTAAACTGATGGAAATATAAGAAAATGACCAAATAGTTTATCTGCAAAATACTGGTGTGCATTATGATAGAGTTTTAGCTGTCAGTTGATTTTTGTTTACATTAAGTTGCGTTTTGATTGACTTTTTAAAAAGTTTTATATATTTATATTTCTTATTGACTTTATTTAAGATTGTTTTTACTATTCTTGTAAATCCAAAATTTTATGCAATTTATTATTTTAAAACTAATTACGGACTTGTTTTATAACTCTCCCTTATTAAGTTTAGATTTAAGTTTTAGCATACAAGAAATTGAATTTATTGATATAATGCTACTTTAAAATACCATTGTAAATTTGTTCTTTTCTGTAAAAACTTTTAATAAAATCTTCCTAAATTTTAAGTAGTTTAGGTTTGCTTTTTAAACAACAAAATTAATTTGATTGAGGAATACAATTGAAGTTTCTTGTCTTGCAGATGGCCTCTTTTTTTTTTTTATCCGCACCCGTTTTTTTTTTAAATGTCAACACAAATTTTAAAATACCAATGAATTAATTATAAAAAATTAAAAATTATAAAATTTTAGAAGACAGCCAACCTCAACTGAGATTTGTAGTCTTCTAAAATCAATGCTTTTTTTATCCTTTACATGTACAGTTGTCCAGGAACTAAAAAATGGCCCCTAGCGTGTCACAACTGAATAAAAAAATTAAAATATAGATGAACTTTGAGCATTTATTAAAACTTTTTATATTAGGAATTTTACCCACATTTGGGTCCTCATAATAGTATTTTTATGAAAATAAAATGACTAATCAATTAATAAAGCATAGAAAACAATCAGTTGAGTGAGTAGCCAATAAAACTTACTACACAAGGGTCCACGAAGGGCTAAAAGCAGCCTCAACAAAAATTTATTCTATTTGTAAAACTTTTACCAACATTGTGGTTACAACAGTAATAAAAATTGATTTAACATCGGGTCAGATCACCCTGCTTCTGAAATACATTTAATCCAATACAACTTGCTTTATATAGAGCAAGTACGACTCCTTAGTTGCAGTGAAATCAACTAACTGAGGAAAAGAAAAATCTGAACTAAAACCCCTAATTTATATGTCAATAAGGTTAGTAGAACCCTGTAAACCTTGAAAAATAACCTTACAAGTGTTACTGAAAATAAGAATGCTCAGTCATAAACTTCAAAACAGGCAAATTTAAGAAGGAAATCATGTTGTAAAAACTCTTATGTAATGTTGCTTAATTAGAAAAAAGAAGATTAAAAAATTTAACCTAAATCGTATTATAAAACTAACTTAATCCAATTATTTTAGAAGTTATTAAAAAAAAAATAAGTTTAAACTTAAAAAAGTAAATACTCTCTTTAAAAACGTTTTCTTTGCCGTTAGTACATGTTACCTGAGTTAAGTGTTTGGTGCCTAGCCGGTAGGAATTACTTTACAGTGCTTTGCACCTAGGCAGCAAGCACTATACAGTATTTGTTACCTTCCGGTACGGCTTACTGTACAGTATAGGCTACCGTTAAGTTAATCCTGCCTACTACACCGGCCCTTATCAAAGACCGCTTTATCATTGCCGTAAATATAAAAACATATTCATAAAACTTTTACATAAATTTATTACATTATAATGATTTTAAAATGTCATACATATTTACAAAAATATTTTTACAAATATCTTTCTTAATCTATTTATTACCAGCTGAACTCTTACAAATAGATTTTTCGTAATTATTTTTAATTGATTGCAAACGAGTCTTCTTCGTGGTAGTTTATTTTCTTTCTCGCGATATAATAGTTAACTAACAGTTAATTAAGTCAATGCAACAGCTTCACGATCATAATTATGGTTAGTTTAATAAATTCCGAAACACGAGGCAAGATGACGAGCTCGCCATCTTGCCCCCATCATCTTGCCCCGGACTGCTTGTTTAAAAATATTCGTTTTCTTTGCCATTAAGGAGGCTGATTATTTGACCCTTATTTATTTACTTTTATTTATACATGCATAATAGTTATAATGTGGAACCGGTAAACAACTATTTTTTAACGAACAGCCTATAAGAGAGTCAGTAATGTTTAATTAATGCTGCCACCTAGTGAAAAGCTGAAAATTTAAAACAGTCTTCCCTATATAACACTAGTTATGTTTTATTTAATATTTTATATTATATAAGCATCTACGTTTCAAAACAAAACGGTACAAATTGGTAAAAAATATTAATTTGATAAAACAGATACGGAACGATACGAGATTTGTTTTATTTTGCAAAAAACTGGTACAAACGAATAAGTTTCTTAAAATCCGACTCAAAACGAAACTAATTTAATCTTTTTCCAAAATTAAACGGTAAAAACAAAAACAGAGTAGAAACGTTTGAACTTTACAAGAAATACTTGTGCTTAAAATCATTTAAAATAAGAAATTTTTAAACTGAACTATAAGTTTATGTACGTTTTAAAAACTATTGTTAAATTAAGATAATCAATAAATTAACTAGTATTTCTGTGGAAGTATTATAGATGGAGAAAAAAATCATAGGTTCCTAATGTCATTCGTGAAATTCAAAAATTTGATCCAATTTTTGAATTTCAATCATGATTTTTCTTTTTTTATTGAATCGTTTTACTCTTCATAAAAAAATAAATACCCGAAAATGCTGTTTGAAAAGTGTGTCATAGTGAAATAGTTATATATCACCACTATGACAAAGGTTTTAACTGTTATTTTAACAGTAATTAGAAACATGCTAGCAACTTTTATATTTTGAAACAATAATATATTAAATGTTTATTAACATATATTATCTAATAAGATTTTAAATACGGTTTTATTATTTTAAAACCATTGAAATGCTTAAAAGCTTTTCATGCCTCGGTTCTGGAAAGGCATGTAATAAAATGCAACCTTAATATCTTTCTTTTTTAGTTTGCAAGTTTCTTTGTTCATGTTTGATTGTTTGATTTTGCATTTAAAACTCTGGAAATCGATTAGCCTGGTGCCAGCATTCTTTCTGTTAGGTTTTTCATTAAAACACTTTATTTAAAATTAACACAATTTCTAAGTTCATTATAGACATGGCTAAACTTAAAACGTGTGATGTTTAATTATATTTTAGCCCAGCAGCATTAGAAAAATAAATTACTTAGTAGCTAAACAGCTTTGCTGTTTCAAATAGTTTTTAAAGTCTTGTAGGTTTATTTGAACAATATGATAATAAAAAAAAATGATTTTTTTGGTTGACTTGTTTTAGGATTTTTATCGATCCCATTAGACATTGAAAATCAGCTTTTCTTGTTAGTTTTTTTAATTTCATTATGCTTGTGACCAACTTCCTGGACTAATACGATCTGAGAGAATGTATTTTGTAATAATTGTGTTAATGTTAGAATTATCTCTGTAAAAACGTAACGTAGCATTTATTTTTATGCTGTTCCAATATTTGGGACGCAGAAGTCTGGTGTCCCAGAAGATAGATGAAACGATATATTCCACCACGGAATATATATTCTCATAACAATCTAAACACTAATACATAAAAATAAACGAACATCATACACAAATCCAGGTAATTTTTAACTCAATAAAAAATGAAATTTTATATGCTTCTTACCTTTACCCCATCAAGAAGAAGTAACAAACCTTTTCCAAAATCATCAAGGTTTTGCTTCGTCTTTTTCCATTGTAGTATTATACAAAAAGTTTACTTCTTTGATTGTACACTCAAAAAATCAAAGTATACTGTGCATTATAAACTTAATTAGTGACTGCCACAGCCGGCAATGATCTTTCCAGTTACTTTTGAAAGTTATTGGATGTTGTGGCAGAGGAAAACGATGGATTAACCTTGTTTCTTGGCATAAAGTATCTTATTCAAGAATTGTTTAACAATAATAATGTTTGCAAATTAA